CTTCATAAAGAAATTCCCATCTTAGACATAGCCAAGTCTGTTTAAACTCTACCTGCATGATAAACCAGCTGTTTTCAGGGAATGGAAAGAGCCCAGCAGCTTTTTCATGTTCTACTGATTTGTAACACCACAATATTTTATATTAGATCTGCTGGCAAAGGCTCTGAGAAGTAAAACCTCACACAGGGATATCCCCTGGGATCTCAGCGTGGTCTTCCCAGGACTAGTGCCAGGTGACCTTTAACAGGCAGGAGCTGGAGGAGAACAGAATCACAGAAGGTTGGATAAACCCTCTAAGATCAAGTCCAACCATCAATCCAGCACCACCAGGTTCACCACTAAACCTTGTCCTGAAGTTCCACATCCATGCATTTTTGGAACACTTACAGGAAAGGTGACTCCACTACTGCTCTGGGCAGTCTATTCCAATGCTTTACAACCCTTTCCAGGAAATTTCCCCAAATATCCAATCTAAATCTGGTACAACTTGAGCCTGTTTCCGCATGTCCTGTCACTCACCACCTGAGAGCAGAGCCCAACCCCATCTGGCCCCAATCTCCTGCCAGCAAAGTTTTCCTTTCAGCACTGTAGCCAGGAATCTGCTCCTACCCCACCTGGGAGCCTTGTGTTTGAGCACAAAAGGAAATTACAGGCTTTAGGCACTTCCTAAATCAGAGAGAACAGCGGAGGGCCCATCTTTGGATAAGGCTGGGGACTAATACTTCACCACAGCCTTGAAGGACAGGCACAGTGGGACACTGGGATATTGCACAGGTCTCTGTCCTTTCCATTTCACATCATCTTGTGGCTTCTAAGTCCTGGCCAGTGCTCTCAGTCAAGGCAAAGCCAGCCCAGGTGCATCCAGACCCACACCCAGTGTGTCCCCTACAGGGATCCCTAAAACCAGGCACGACAGTAATTTCTTCAGTTTCCAGAAGAGATCAGAGCCCAAGATCCTTTCAGAGAGGTATCACAGGTACTACTGCAGGCAGGAACTGCAGAAATCCTCAGAAAAAAGTGCAAGATGCTAGAAGAGAGCTGGAAGGAAAACAGAACTCAACAACCTCATTAAAGCCTTTCTTCTTCCTTTGCTTAACAAGAAGAATGCTTAATTAAGTCTTCCTTCAAGCCTTCCCCCTCACCTGGCAAGGCTCAGCAGAAAGCAGAGACTTAATTTCCTCTGCAGCACAGAACACCTCAGTGGGACAGGAATTTGCATATTCTAAAGGAGCAGTGGATCGCTGGTTCTCTGCTGTTCAGCCGCAGTGGGGAGGGACAAAATCAGCAGGAGGTACATTTCAGCTCTGCTCAGGAATAAGGGAGAGCAGGAGGGAAAGGAATAAACAGCAACTTGCTCCAAGTCTGGAGCTTTCCCAAGGCAGGAGTTTGATTGTGTTATACACAGACTTCTCAGTTTATTTGCAAGTCTCCTGCAGCTTAGTAGGTCAGTTCAACTGGCAACTGCTGCTGATTTTAAGCCCAATTATAGCCACTTCTACCTGGTGACAAAGCCTCAGTTCTGCAGCCAATTCTCACCCATTAATGCCTCCAGAATTAATAGAACTTGCTATTCATGGTAATCACCAGTTTGACCTCAAAGTTACTGTTTCCTGTCATAATTTCAGTCTTGTTTGTTTTCACTGGAACATCTCCCTGTGTATTCCCAACTCCTGGGACCACTTCTCCTGTGTAGGGAGCTGAGATACATACAAGCTTTCAATTCTGGCTCACCTATAACCAAAAATAAGAGCACAGAGACTCATCCTCCTGGGACAGAACTATCACCAAGGACCCTCTACTAGAATCCAGACATTCTTAGGGAAGAGTTTCCCAGTCCTCATGATTTAGTTCTCTTATGAGAGAGAGTCCACAGCAACACAACAACAGAAAAGTTCTTTTTTTTTTTTTCTTTTTTTCAGATAGGTCCTTCAATCAAAACATAACAAAAAGCTCCAAAAAGCCAGAGGCCTCAGCCCACCATTCTGCAGTTTAGGGAACAGCAAGGAGGACTTCAAGCTCTGCACATCCCAGGAAACTGGGCTCTACATACCTGCATCACAAAAAGTGAACGGAGACTTCCAGGGCCCAGCTTGAGACCCAAGAGATTTAGAAGGAAGTGCAGCAGGATGGATTTAAAAAGGAGTTTGTGTCTTTGTTTCCCTCTGAGTACTTCCCAATTCCCCCAAGAAGCACCACAAGCAGCCTTGCATTTTGCCAAAGGGAGATCTATTTTGACCCAAAATTCCATTGAAAAGGTAGGAAATGTGTTCTGAGCAAGATGCTTGTGGCAAATGGAAGATCTGGGCTCTACAGCAGCCAGGGGATACAGAAATCATGGAATAGTCTGGGTTGGAAAGGACCTTAAAACCCATTGGTTTCACTCGCTGCCATGGACAGAGGCATTTTCCACTAGACCAGGGTACTCAGAGCCACATCCAGCCTGGCCTTGAACACTTCCAGAGATGGCGCAGCTCCAGTTTCTCTGAGCAACCTGTGCCAGGCTCTCACCAACCTCACAGGAAAGAATTTCCTCCCTATTTCAAATTTGAATCTTCCCTCTTGAAGTCCTTAAAGCTTAAAGTCATTCTCCTCTGTCCTATCATTACAAAATCTGTTGCAAAAATATCAGGCAGAAGGAAGATGTTCAGGTGCATAAAACTGGGTTTAAGTGTAATTATACAAAACAGCCCTGGATTATTTAGTACAGAGAAATGAACTTTGTTCCTGGAACACAGCAGGGTTCAGCAAAGGCATAGCAGTCTCAGCTTGGAAAGAGCTGTGAAGCAAGGGATGGATGCAGCAATGTTCAGGAGGGAAGAGATACTACAACTGAGCCATTCAGGAGCTGGACCACGGGTCAGCTCAGTGCTCCACAAGCACCTGTCAGCTGGTACATAGGGAGCTTTTCTATAACTTTTGTGATTCCACTGGTGCATTAACCATGGACTGCAGACAGACACTGAGTGAGGAGATGGGCTGGGAATGCTAAGAGAATGGATTAAGCTGCCCTGCCAAACCGCCCCAGTACAGCCTGTACTCTAAACTTAACTGGTACAAAGCTGTTGGAAAACACTAAAGAATGTTCTGCCTCAATTCTGACCAATTCCCAGTGTCTTTGACAGGGAGGAGGAGCTCCTGCTGGAACTGCTTTACTCTTCTCTGAATGTATAATGATGTTTTAAAGCAGCAGCACAACCTTCAGCTTGCACATGGCCCTGCAGGAACTTCCTCCAGCAAAGGACTTCTTTTCCCATGAATGAACAGTAGATTTTTGTTTGGGTCTCAGTGACTTATGTTCATCTGGGAGACTTAGCTTCCTTTTAATACTGCAACAAAAATCAACTTCAAGGAAGCCTGGAAATATTCTTGACTGACAGCTACCCATCAGCTGTGTAAGGTGGGAGAACTCCATACACAGAAGTCAGTGGATAAACTGGCTGATAAGCAGTTCAGTCCAGCACTTAAGCTTGCCTACAGGACAGAATTTTCGCCCTTCTCCTCTGCACTTCTCAGTCTCCTCTAACCAAAATCACTGGTTTTACTTACACCAGATGTGTGGAAATCAGCATCTTCACAAGATGCTCTGTGGGAAACGAGAAGCCACACAACCTTCCTGGGGAAGACCTGTCTGGTGCCCCAGCAGATCACCACAATCATCCTGACTCCCACCACAAACCAGGCCCAGGTGATCCCAGATCCCCACAAGAGCTTCCCAGGTCAAACACCACCACGGATGAGACCCAAGATAGATCCTATGTGCTTCCAAACTGCAACTTCCTGAAACGCAGCAAGTGGAAAATCAGGGCCTTTTGCCAACTCTAGAGCCACAGACTTTCTGCACAAGACACCATCAGTCTTACATCCCCTTTCAGAACTCCTCTCCTGGGGACAGGCATCTGCTAACACACTTACTAAAGTCTCATCCCAAACCCAGGGCAGGATGACTTGTGCTCTGAGATCACATGCCCAGCCTGGACCAGAGCAAGGAGCAGCGGAAGAGTAAAGGCAAGGAGATGTCCAGATGATGTCCAGATGTCCAAAGAGATAAGGAATCATGTCCAGTCAGGAGAAGGTTGCGTTCCTTTAGGAAGGAGCATTAAATCCAACCTCTTCCTCAAACATTGCCTTAGCTTCCTCACAAGCACAAAGAGACAACTTTAAAACACCAGAGCTGTTGGAAAGGCTGCCAATATTCATTTTCTGCTAGCGAAGAGGTACTGTCTATATTGCAGGAGAGACAACAGCAGCAAACTGATGGCCCTGAGCTGGGGATGGTTCACGACAGAAGGATTTTGTCATTTTCCATAATTCTCTCCCTAGGGTTTCCCCAAAGCAAGAGACCAGAAAAGATTTCTGCTCCTGCTTGCACCTCCCCCTGAAGATTTCAAGGAAAAAAAGATGGATCAAAGAGCCTTTTTGCATTCATAAACCTGTCAATTTTTCTAGAAGATTTAAGGCTTTAAAGAGTCCAAAACATTTACTTGAAGTTTTCTATCCAAACAGACCTCTTTTAATACTTAAAAAAAACCCCCAGAAATAAAATATTTAGATTTTTCTGAAGTAAGGCATTCCGACAGCTCCAGACAGAAGTGCTGGAAAGGAGGAGGAAATCCAATTTTTAAGTTTGACAGGAACTTTTCTTTTTTTTCCTTCTCTTTTGACTGGCAGAGAAACAAGACTACAGAGCTATTTCAGCCCCTGGCTCTAACCAGGAATAGCTGGGATGAGCAGCACAGGAAACAACAAACCAAACTTACTCAACTGCCGCCAGTTCCATGTCCCTGTCCCACACATGCTTTGCCTCACAAGAAAGATTCTTCAAGGTGATGATGTAGCAGTATTCCACCCCACCATCCTGCCCTTCCTCTCCACACACTCCTACCACTTTCCATTTTGCCTCCAAAAGCCTATCCCGCAGAAGAGAAGCAAGTTCCCCACCTGAGAACACTACAGGCATGACAAGTTTTGGGAAAGTTCAGCCCTTTTCAAAACCTGGTTACCTTGATTTCTTCTCAGCCATAAGAATTGAGAGGGTCAAACATCTGGCAGCACATTTCTTTCTCCACTTTCATATACTCCTTGTAGTATCTGCAAAGTAGAGCACAGGATGGCGTCAGGGGCTGGAGACTGTCTGTGCCACCCTCAGTGTCACAACCTCAAAATAATGTTATTTTCTGGATATAAATAAATTAACATAATGGAAAATTGTGCCAGCAGCACAGACACAGCTCCTCCAAGCCTTTCTTTCTGCAATGTCAAGGAAAGAGAGCTGGAAATGTGATGTCTCACCCCCAGACCTTGGATCTCTGCTCGGGACTAATTAGATCATTTGCCTCCTGTGAGACAGGTGCTCTCTACACTAGTCCTGGAAACAAGGGACAGTGAGAGGAACCCCACCTGTGTGCTGTGGGATACTTTTGTGAGTCCTTATGCAAGTTCTTTTAGCACCCAGGAGACACTGGTAGTCTGACTACCATACAGCAGGATATCTACATTGGATATATGATCTGGGCAGAGGATAGGAAGGAGACAGCAGGGATTTGTGTCTGGACTAAGTGGATGACAAGCAGATGTATCTTCCTCTGCTCTCTCTTCCTTGCCAGTGTGACAGGATGGCAAAAGCTTCGCAGCCTGCTCCATTTGAACTTTTCCAAGCACAGCATGCTCTGCTCTCTGTGCTCTCACCTCACCGGTAAGGAATCCCTGAGCTGCAGGCTGACTCAGTTTGGGAACACTGTTCCAGGGATCAGTGGCTGCCCACGAGTTCGGTTTTCCTGCATCTACTGCCATATAAGGCCAAAAGCAAAGGGTTTTGTGCAACACACTAGAACCAGCCTGAGGGAGAGGCTGGCTCAGGTTCTCTCAGCCCCAGCCCTCGGCACCCTTGGGGCCCGGAACCTCAGAGGGTACAAAATCCCAGCACAACAAATCTCTCCTGGTAAGTCTCACACCGAAGTTGCTGACCAACGATGCCCACCTGTAGCTGGCACATTCCCACACCTATGACAGCAGGAAATCCAAGAGCCCTTGTTTGGAGGAACAGATTAATACCAGATATTGGAAGAACCTAAATTCATTCTGGTTTTGATGCAAGGCAAGCCTTCCAATAGAATTCCTAGATTCAGCAGCAGAATTTGTACCAAATCCACCACAGCTGGTACCAGATACATTCTACATACCTCTCATCCTGGATTCTGCCTGTTGTTCTCCAGGGGATTTTGCCAAGAATCTGTTTCAGCCAGTAAACAGATGCATTCCAAAGCTTTGTTTTAGACAGCAAAAGGGAGCTTGCTGATTGCCACACAACATTGCTTTTAACAAAGTACAAATGTACTCAGTAAGGAAGTGAAAAGCCACTAAGAACAAGACTTTGATTCATATTCCATTTCTGAAGCATTTGTCAGATCACACTACAAGTTCTCAGGCAAGGGCAGGCTGGCAACTTTACATATCTAGTAAGAGGTAAGGCCTCATTAACAACACCCAGTAGCACGTGCTTCATCTGCTTCACACTAATTCCACTCTTTGTCACAGGCAAAAGACTTCTGCAGTGCTGCCTCCAGCATCAGAAACACATACAGCTGCTGAAACAAGTCCAGAGGAGGCCATGGAGATGCTCCAAAGGCTGGAGCCCCTCTGCTCTGAAGACAGGCTGGAAGAGCAAAGGTGTTTACATGGAAAGAACTCTAGAAAGACCTCAGAATCCCCTCCTTTGCCTAAAGGGGCTCCAGGAGAGCTGGAGATGGACTTTGGACAAGGACAACAGGGAATGACTTCCTGCTGCCAGAGGGCAAGGGTAGATGGGATACTGGGAAGAAATTCTTCCCTGTGAGAGTGGGGAGGCCCTGGCACAGGTTGCGCAGAAAAGCTGTGGCTGCCCCGTCCCTTAAGTGCTAAAGGCCAGGTTGGACAGGGCTTAGAGCACGCTGGAATGGTGAAAAGAGTCTTTGCCCATGACAGTGGAATGAGCTTTAGGACCCCTTCCAACCCAAAGCATTGCATGGTTAAAAGCAAAAAGTACACCAGTTTTAACAGGCAGCAAAGCAGGAACTTCAGGACAAGAGTTTAAGATGCACTCAATTCTGACACACACACCTGAACGTGCTGCTCTCTATAGAGCTGGAGCTGACAAAGGCAGAAATGTCTTGTTGCTTTCGAGTCACACCACCTAAACACCATTAGCAAAATTTCCCTTTTATCTACCAAAATATTTCAAACAAATCTAAGTGAATACATGAGGCTACTAGAATCAGACCTTCTAGCATTATACATATACTAGCCTCCAAGAGCAGTCAGCCAGATCTAGTTTAGAACTCCCCAATCTCAGTGGACAATTTGGTAGCTCCATACCCAGTGGGAGATCAGGATGAATACAAGAGATTAATTTAAAATTTCCAGACCAACAGCTAATACTACCTTCAAGCTCTTTGTTCTTTGGAAGTAACAAACAAATTTGCAGACTCAGTGTTATGACAGACTATTTAAAGACAACATGAATACACAGGACAGAACAACCCTCCACCAACATATTCCCTGGCAAAAGGCACTCAGCCAGACTGGCTTTTCCAGCAGCACCAACCACTCTTTTTAGGTGTTACTGCTGCCTTTCTGCAAGTGCCTGGCACTGACATACAGAAGAGGGTTCATATTCAAGGGCTGCTTTGTGAGCTCCAGAGCTGAGGACAGCATTGCTCCTGCCTCAGTACACAGTGCCAGGAAGACAGCATACACTTCTGGGAAAAATCTAATGCTTCTGGCAGTTTCAAAGGAAGAGCATCATGAGGGCATAGACAAGCATTAGTCATGTTCTGGTGGGGTGGGGACATGACTAAAAACTAGCAGGATAGTCCTGAACTCAGCCTGTGGGGAAAGAGAGAGTTCATCTTCAGGGCTGTTCATTTATTATCTCCAAGATGGCAAGAAATTCACTTTCAATGAATATTAGTATTGGGCACTGAAATACACGCAGCTTGCTGAAAATAACCAACACATCTTAAAGGGAATGAAAATCATACTTATTGAGAACATTACCAGCTGGATCATCAGTCAACTGTATTTCACTGGATTTGAGGTATTTTAGTAGCCCCCACATCCCTGTTCTCACCCTGATCTGCTCACAAGTCAGGACACATACACCAAAGAAATACATGGAAAGGGTGGATGCTTTGAGCTCCTCACTTGCAGCTTCTGGGCCTGAAAAATGTTTCAAGCTGTTTTCTCCACATGCGTTTTCCCAAGTCACTTATTAACCCAATAGTTTGGGGTTTTTTTGAATATTTTAAATATTTTGGAATGGGTATTACAGCCTGTCCAAACACACTCTCTTCCCAGGTATAGAAAGGAGGGCTCCCACCTTGCTAACTTCTTCAGCTCATTGTTGATATCACGGTTGAAGGGTTGGATGCACTGAGCTCTGGCCAGGAAATCCCGGGATTTGCTGTACTCCCTCATGTAGAGACAAGCCTATCATGGAAAGAAGTTAGATGCATCACAAGATAAATACAGACCTGCTGCCCTTCTTCAGGCCTTGTGCCAAAACAAACTTTCCTGCAACAGAGAAAAGTAATTCAGGAGCACTCCAGGAAAAGCTCCATGTGACACATTTCCAGAGAGCCAGACTTTGCAAAAGGGCAGATGCAGACAAACCACCTTGACTACTGCAGCAGTCCAGAATTCAGAGATTCCCCTCAGCTCATTCTGGGCTCCCTCTACAGACAGGCCAGGATGTTCCATGATGATTTATTTGCCCACCTGGCCACACCTGAAGAGCGCTTTGGCATTTCCTTGGTCCATCTCCAAGGCCAACTCCCCGTATTTCAAAGCTCGGTCAGCACGTTCCAGTTTCAGGTAAGTGAGTGAGAGATTCAGGAACAGCAGCAGTTTGGAAGCGTTGATCTGGCTCTGCTCTGCCTTACTGGAAGAGCTGCGACCCAGGATGGAGAGTGCCTGAGCAGAGAGGGAAAATCAGCCAGTGCACAACAAATCCATCATGGAAAGTGAGAAATCCATCTCATCCAACAGCTACACCCATATTTCTGGTCACCTAGGTCACTAAAATGTAGTAACAATCAAAACTCCAAATACAGGGCATGGCATCCTCAGCATGACTAGTCATGCTGACCATATGACCACAGGCTTAGAAACTTACCATGGAAAGCAGAAGAATAAAATAAAAAGAACCCAGAACTCAGATTTAATATGGATATCTTACAAGATAAATATGGATATCTGGGAAGAAGGCAAGTCAAATTACTTTAGTTTCAAAAATTCAAGCAAAAGCAACTTTGAATCATCTCTACCTCTGAAAAAGTAGCAGATGCCTTCCAGTTTGAGAATAACTGAGCATTTACCCTGCCAGGAGAGGGAGCTAAAGAGGCTCAGACTAGGAAAAAGGATTAGGGGGGATCACCTTCTCACTCTCTACAATTCCTGGACAAGAAGGTGCAGCCAGATAGGGGTCAAGCTCTGCCCTCCGGTAGCTGGACAAGACAAACAGCCTCAAGTTGCAGCACAGGAGGTTCAGGTTGGATACTGGGGAAAATTTCTCACTGAAAGTGTTGTGCAGCCCTTGCACAGAGGCTATTCAGGGCAGTGGTGGAATCCCCATCCCCAGAGGGACTTAACAGCCCTGTGGATGTGGCACTTGTGGACATGGATTAGTGGTGGCCTTGGCAGCTCTGGGAAACAGTTGGACTTGGTGGTCTCAGAGAGCTTTTCCAGCCAAAATGATTCTGTGACTATTCTTTATTTTACCACTGCTGCTCACACAAAACCAGGTGTGCAAGCCCTGTTCTGAAGTAACAAACTATGCCTGGAAAAATACCATAAAGTTATTTGATCTCTAGCTTGTACCTGTTGTGGTGAGCTAAAATAATCCCTTCTTCCAAAGCTTTCCCAAAGCACAACCCACATTTTCCTGGTGCCATACCCTCTTGTATCTGTCCTTGGCAATCTTGAAGCACTGCTTATAGAAGAAGTAGTTGCCAAACTCTCTTTCTGTGGCGGCCACTTTCAACACCTTTTCCAGAGGAAGTCTATCCCGCTGTTCCTGTGTGAAGAAATATCTGAATTTCAGCTCAAACTATAGAAAACAGGCAGAGAACTCAGACAGGACAGTCCTGAACAGCTCCTTCCTATTCACAGAGCAGAAGCCAGGTCCTTATCAAGGCCAGGCCACCACCATGTGGTATCTCCCCAGCCAGGCTGAAACATTACAGTGTTCTTGTGCTGATTATTCCACTAAAGAAGTCAGGAAGCTCCTCAGGCCTAAAGGGGGACTGAAAAAAAGCAGGAATGTGTTCTTAAAACCTGCCCAACTCCTTCAGCACACAGCTGAGTTAACACAAATGCTGACACTGGCACAAAGCTGCTCAAAACATTCCACTGCTCTAATTGCTCTCAGGCCATCTCTGGGACAGCCTGACACTCCCAAAGACAAACAGCAAAAGAAAAATCCCAATAATCATTTAAAAAAAGATAAAAATGGAGGGACAGGTTTTCTTCTGGGTCTGCAAGTTGGAACCAGCTCATAGAGAGGGGTCAGTCAGACAAAATGGGTAGGCAAGGAGGGAGAACAACAAGTCTGGTTTGCTCACAGGGCTTTGGGGGAAAATTTACCTGTGCAGGGGCTGGAGGAGCTCCCCCATTAGCTTCTGCCTCCACTCACCGACCCACAACCACAGCCCAAAGCCCTTGACATGGAAAGGCGAATTAACAATAGCACTGTAACTCACCAGGAAGGAAAGAGGGAGCACTTGGGAGAGGAGCCAAGAGGCAAAGGGTGGGGGCTGGTGGGGCACTGGGACACTGCAGACTGAAGAGGATTGTAACAGTCAGCTCATTACTGTTCCTTGAAGAAATTCCTGGAAGCTGCTGCCCTCTAGTGCAACCATGAGGTTTCTGGTAAAACTAAAAATAAATGGGAGCCATTCCAGCACAGAGGAGCAAACAAAGGCAGATCCCGCCTTCACCCTCTGCATGGGAGGGCAAACAGAGAGAGACATGGAGGGACACAAAAGGCAGGCATGTGGATCAGGGCAGAGCTGGGAACCCAGGGACTAGATACTTGCACCAGCATCCACGTGAACACATGTAACACACAAGCCACAGCAACTGTGAGACAGGACAATGGTGGTTCACCCTCCAGATTTCGGTCTCAAGCCTTATTAAAAGAACTCACACAAGTCAACTCAAAGAAGGTGTCGCACTCCTCTGAGTCTATGAAGTCCAACACCTCCACCTTGAAGAGGACCGTGGTGTTTGGGGGGATGGAGGGAGGACAGCCCCGCTGGCCATAGGCGTATTCCGGAGTGAGGACGAAGAGCGCAGCCTCTCCTTTGGTCATGGACAGCAGCCCGATCTCCAGCCCCCACAGGGTGATGTCTGTCACAATGAGGGGTGGGACATGTGAGCTTCACCAACACCAACACCCTCACACACCAAACAATGACTTCTCCTTAAGCCTGATGGAAAAAAATCCCTGGGAGCTCCTGTCTCAGCAACTACAACAGCCGGTTGCTCCAGAAAGGATTATCAGGGGTACTGCTGCTGTGGGACTGAGCACCTGGCATTGCAAATCCACAGTGGGATGAATTGGAAGGGGCTTTAGAGATGATCCAGTCCAAGCCCTGCCACAGTCAGGAACACCTTTCCCTACACCAGCATGCTACTAAAAGGCCTGTCCAGCCTGGAAAACATCATCTCCTCTCAAGAGACTTAAAACTACCTGAGGGCAGATGGAAAACACCTCCCTACCATTCCCAGGCAGAGGGTGAGCAGGTCCAGATTCCATCTCCCACGTGAACCAGGAGGATTTTGGACTCCATAAACAAGTGTTAAAGGTTTCAAACAACCCAAAGACACCAAACAGCATTTAAACTGAAATGCTTTAATACAACCCCAGAGTCCAAAATGCCTTAATACAATCCCAAGCCCCAGGACAAAGTTTGTGGCTCAAACCTACCTTTTCCAAGTTTCATCAGCCTCGGATACTTGCTGTTCCCATTTGAACAGAAGAGCTTATTCCAATTTCCTAGGTACCCAGAGTACCTCACTGTACAGCCCAAAGCGAGGAGTGGGTAGAAAGGAAAAGCAAGAGGTTGATTTCATATCCCATAACAGCAACATCAGGAGCACACTAATAGTTGTAACCACCCAGCTATCCTGCTTCTCCTTTTCCGTTCTGCTATAGAACAGCAGAGGCAGCAAAACCCCTTCTGTTTTACACCAAAAACCTGGTCACATCCAAGCAGTCAACTGCTGTGTGTTTTAGCATCATTCCCAGACAAAGCAGCTGCTTCACAGTCCTGATCTATTTAAGAGATGTGATTTCGCATTTTTAAGAACTGGAAACTTCAGCCGAGCAAATTAAAATGCCCCAATTATATGCAGAAATATTTAAAAATAATTCCCTAACCAAAGCTGGAGCTCTGGAAAGAGGAACAAGAGGAAAAATGTACCACTACCCCAAGCTCTGCATCTGTAACTACAGTTCTGCCTCAGAAAATACACTGTAATGGGCTCTCTTGACACAGCACCAGGGCCCTGCACTTCAGGAACTGCTTCCAACTTCAAACTTCTCTGTGAGCACAGGTGGGCCCTAGAAATCCTTCATTCCTCAAGGTCAAGATGCCTTTTCATTTAGTGTGTCAGCCACAAGAAGTTAAACAGGGTATCCCAAGTGTTAAAACACTGATAAGGAGAGGAGACAGTCTCTGAAACAGAGACACGGCACAGTACAATATCAGCATTTTTAAGTCCTTGTTGTGGTTTTTGCCAGCCCACCAGCATGTCAACATTACAGCCTTGGGGGATTTTCCCCCACAGGCTCTGCCCTGTTTCCCTCAGCACCTGCTCCAGGTCCAGCCACACAGACCAAACCTCTGTGGAGACAGAGGTGACAGAGATGAGCACCAGATCCTCACTCCAGCCCACACTTCCACGGATTTTCATGTTCTTAGTCCTGCTGAACTTAGGCTAAAGGAAACAATTCCTATTTAAAAGCTGCTCCGGAGATGGTTACTGGTGCCTGAACTACCAGTGAATTCAGGCTCAACATTACTGCAGAGCACCCTGAACCTCCCCAGGCAGCCAGGCCGAGCACAGACAGCCTCACTCCAGGACACCAGCCCTGGAGAGACTGCAAGAATCGTGGAATGGTTTGGGTTGGAAAGGACCTTGAAGATCATCCAGTCCAACCTCCTGCCCATGAGCAGGGACACCTTCAAGCAGAGCAGGTACCTTCAGCATGGCCTTTAACATTTGCAGGAATGGGGCAACCTCGGCTTCCTTGGGTAACTTGTGCCACAGAGTTGGGACATCCCTAACAGGGGTGCCCGGCCCTGCCCACGGGACCTCTCAGGGCCCACAGGAGACTCCGGAGGCCCCAGACCCGGCTC